ACTTTTTCGGAGGTTTACTTACAAGTTCTGTGAGCAAATCTCTGGTTTGGTCACAGACCTGCAAGCTTAGACTCACCGAGTGTGGGAGTTGCAGGGAACATAAATGATTTAGTCTTTAAAATGGAGTTAAATAATAAATATCAGGAGCTGACTCATTACTTCATCACCAACTTTTCATGCCAGCAGTCAATATCTCAGAGTCAGATTTTCTTTTCTCTTCTTTATCTGTGTTTGATGTGGAGGATTCTTTGCATTATTGTATGGAATGAATGAAAAATTCTTTTAATGTCACAGATCGAGACTTCTCTTCAATGCAAACTATACTCTTTTTATTTAATATTCATCTTTTAATCAGATATTTCATAGTGGACTGGGTAAATGCGTCAGATGAGGTCAAAAGCCATCATCCTGGATTTAAAGTTAAATTTATCATCTTTGTTCTTCGCACACGCCAAAGAAAATGTGTTGCTTGGCCCACATTAAAAGTGTGAGAAGGGGCAATTTTGCCATCAGCCATGAACTCCATGTTTAAAAATGGACGGGAGATGCAACCTGTCGACCTGTTACCAAATAAATTAGTCCACTGTGGAGAGACTGACAGCAGTGTGTGCATGAATTTCAGCCTTTGATAAAAATGTTTTGTGACAGGCAATTATTAATTCACCGAATAGAAGAAGCCAAGTGCTCAAGGTCCATGGCATTTTAACATAACATTCCAATTTAATTAGGTAGAAAAATGGACATTTATTCCTCATGCGAGCTCCTATTTAGCAGGACAGGCTATTCTTCCCAGGTCTTGTGCATTGCTGCAGTCACCTCAGAGATCTCTGAGCTCAGTGATTATCAGTGTTAACGGAGACAAGGTGCGATAGGGTCAGTAACACTAGCCTCTCCAATTATTCTGTCCTATTTGATTAATTTGCATAATTTTCCTTCAGCGGTTGTGACCAGCATGTAACTGGTCTGCATGTTATAAAATGCTCTGAGTATACAAAGGGACTGCATGATGAGCAACTGTATGGCCCTGTTTGCAGACAGTAAGCACAGCAAACTGTATAGAGCAGGAGTCGGCAACCTGCGGCTCCGGAGCCGCGTGCGGCTCTTTAGTCCTTATACTGCGGCTCCGCGTGGTTTGGGAAAATAAATTACAAGTATTTAGCTGACGTGTATTTTTTTTGTATTAGTTCTTTTTAAACTTGTAGTTCTAAATTGAAACATTATTGTGATATTGAAATATAAAAATAAAATTATATTTTATTATTTTTCATCGCTCAAAATAAGCGTCACACTCGCAGAAGCCGGTGTACCCGCCGAAATGCCGTGCATTTATCGAGACTTTCAACCCCAGGTAGGCCAATTATGGATCTTCGGATCCACATTATGTCAGCAGCTCCAAACAAACACTGCTCACGCCTCACAGATGACAGCTTACAGTCCTGCGTAAAGATGAAAGTGACTTCACTGTGCGCAGAGGTTCAGGAGCAGAAGTTCCATTGTAAACATATCACGGCAGACCTGACGATGTTTCCATGAACACGCTTTTCGGCATCTCTTTATTGACCACTTTTCACACACGGTTGCTGTACGCATACAGCCGGCTGTAGCTTTTCAGCTCACAGCCCGACAACACAACAGCAAAGAGAGCACAGACTTTAAGGCGGCGAGGCGTGATTGCGGGTGCAGCTCAGGTGCGTACGCCTCCCCTGCAGCGGCGCTGCAGACCAAGCCCCGCCACACACATTTACCATGTAAAATAAATATAAGTAAATAAACAAATATTTATGCAGAATTTTGCGAATATTTATTTTTCATTTTTTAGCAGCATAGTGCTTTTTTCCAATTGATTTTTTTAAAAGTCAGGTCAAGGCTCCAAAAGTCCAAAGGCGATATAAGGCTGGCGGCTCTCAACGGTTTTTCTTTGCTACATAGATCATTTTAGTTCAGCTGGGTGTCTTTCCTTTTATTATATTTCTTTAAGAGTTCAAAATGTGTTCATTACATAAATAAAATGTAACTTTCTCTGTAGCACTTCATGGATTTCATGAGCAACACACTTTAGTTGTTCACACAAAGCATAAAGGTAGAAAAAACAATATATACAGTGTTAACTTCATTTTAGATGTCCCAGTGTTTTCTTTTTCGTGGAAACTGGGTCCAAATGGCTCTTTGGGTGTTAAAGGTTGCTGACCCCTGGTATAGGGCCTGAAATGCAGATGCACTTGGTGGCCAACAGAGGGCAAAACCTCTGGTTTCAAAAGAAAAGTAAGACAAGTCAGAAAGTTGCCCTGCTGCTGACGTGATTTGTCACCTCAGTAAGCACTCTTCTGATGACTTTATGGTATCTTTCAAGTCTTATTTAATGCAGCACAACATTAAGTTTATAATTTATTGTCCCACTCAGAGAGAAACAAACAATAAAAAACACTATATGTTTGGGATTGGCTCCCTTATGTCTGACAAATCGCTGCTGTGCAAGCCAACGGGTGATGCAATGGCACAGCAGCATGTTTTTTATGCTGTCTATATTTGAAAAAAAGCATGAAATTGTGGGCGACCGTGGCTCAGGGGGGTTGGGAAGCGCATCTGTAACCGGAAGGTCGCCGGTTTGATCCCTGGGCTCTCTGTCCTGGTCATTGTGTCCTTGGGCAAGACACTTCACCTACCGCCTACTGGTGTTGGCCAGAGGGGCCGATGGCACGATATGGCAGCCTTGCTTCTGTCAGTCTGCCCCAGGGCAGCTGTGGCTACAACTGTAGCTGCCTCCACCAGTGTGTGAATGTGAGAGTGAATGAATAGTAGAAGTGTAAAGTGCTTTGGGCGCCTTGAAAAGCGCTATATAAATCCAATCCATTATTATTAATTAAATCTCAGCATATTTTTTATATTATAAAATTTCTTTCATAGTTATTGGAAAGGTTCCAGGTGATGGGCTCGTGAAGCTGGTTGAGAGAACGGAGTTCGAAAGCTGTCACCAAAGCCAAAGTAGGCTATGAACAAACTTGACATTAAAATATACTGCTCAAAAAAATTCAAGGAACACTATTTTAATCAGAGCACTGCATCAAGTCAATTCCACCACTGGGTTGTTGATGTGTTCAGTTAAGTAGCAGAAGGGGTTTTAATCAGTTTCAGCTACTTTGGTGTTAAAGAAGTTAACAATAGGTGCACTAGAGGGGCAACAACGAGACAACCCCTAAAACAGGAATGGTTTTACAGGTGGAAGACACTGGTATTTTTCCTCCTCATCTTTTCTGTTTTTTCCCCCTAGTTCTGCATTTGGCGAGGGTCCGTGTCACAACTGGTACCATGAGGCGATACCTGGGCCCTACAGAGGTTGCACAGATGGTCCAACTCCTCTGGGATGGCACATCAATACATGTTGTTACCAGAAGGTTTGTTGTGTCTCAAGCTCAGTCTTACGGAGGAGATTCCAGGAAGTTGGCAGTTACTCTAGGAGAGCTGGACAGGCTGTAGAAGGTCCTTAACCCATCAGCTGGACACATGGAACAGCTTGAGCACAGCCAGAGTTTCAAAAGGACCTCTAGCAGGTGTAACAGTTTCTGACCAAATATTAAGAAACAGACTTTATGAGTTCAGCATGACCAGCGCTACGTCAGTGATGGTCTGTGGAGGCATATCCATGGAGGGACGCACAGACCTCTACAGGCTTGGCCAGGGGTGGGCAATCTCAGTTCATGAGGGCCGGTGTCCCTGCAGGTTTCAGATGTGTCCTCGAACCAACACAGCTGATTTAAATGGCTAAATTAGCTCCTCAACATGTCCTGAAGTTCTCCAGAGGCCTGGTAATGAACTAATCATGTGATTCAGGTGTGTTGACCCAAGGTGAGATCTAAAACCTGCAGGGACACCGGCCCTCGTGGACTGAGATTGCCCACCCCTAGGCAACAGCCTCATTTGGTGAAACTATCAGGCAGTTCCTGGAGGATGAAGGAATTGATACCATTGACTGGCCCCCATGCTCACCTCACCTAAATCCACCTCTGGGACATTATGTTGTTGTCTATCTGTTGCAATCTGTTTGTACCTTGGACTATCCAGGAGCTCCGGGAGTGATGTCCTGGCCCACATCTGGCAGGAGATCCCCCAGGACACCATGCACCTTGTCATTTGGAGTACGCCCCGATGTTGTCAAGCATGCATAAAACCACACGGGGACCATACAAACTACTGAGTACTATTTTGAGTTGTTGCAATGAAATTTGGATTAAATAGACTAGTCAGCAGCGTGGTTTGAATTCAGCCTTCTGTAGGGTGATCATTTTCATTTCCATCAAACGATGTGGCGACTTACTGAGATCTGATGTGTTTTGAACATCTTCCTTTAATCTTTTAGCAGTGTCTTTGAATTGCTCTTTTTTATGAATTCCATGTACAATAATTATTGGTTTTGGTTTCTTCAGTGATGCTCTGAAAGGTAGCTGGGTAATAATAAGGGAATAATAACGAAAAGACCGTAAACAAGTAGCTATATCCTGTGTTTTGGTTAGTACTCCATTTATGTTGATTGAACATAACCGTGAACTCCTTCAGTTTCAGGCGCTGTTCTTAAACAAAAACATTTGATGTTTCTTTGATCATACAATACGCTTCTAATTGAATCAGAAGTGACCAACACACAGGATAATTTTCAGTATCCATATAGCTACAAGCTCTGCCTGCTGCATGTATATTCTCAAACACGGGTGCTGGGGAACTGGGCTAACATCTGCTTTGCCAGTATTTGATTTTATCCCTGTAGCAGGCAATAAATCTGACCCTGCCATTTATCATTAACCCGTTTGTTTCCAGGGGAACGTGGTTACTATAGCTGGGCAGATTACGGATATATATAGGATCTAAACACTGAGCTTTTTCACTCATTCAGTCAAAATCCGTAGCTGCTGCCAGAGCGATGGCAGAACTGTAAGCTACAAGTCACTAAGCCATTTGGCTCCTGTAATCAATCAGAAGACAGAATTGAGTTTACCTCTGTTTGTGTGTGTCAAGAGAAGAGGCAAATGTCAATTTTATGGGTTGTAACTGAAACACAGAGTGCCCTCACTTTAGCACACAGGAGCCTGTGGAGTGAAGTGAGACACTTTTTGATTGATTATAGGGTTTCATAAGTGCCATAGGTGCAGTGTGATTGAGTACGAGGCGGTGTATGCGTGTGTATGTGTGTGTGTGTGTGTGTGTGTGTCGGGCAGCAGCTGCTCGCTCCCTGACTCTTTATCCCTTCCTCTCACATATTCAGTCCTGCAGTGGCGGTTGGGCTCGGTGCTCCCGCCTGCAGGAGCGCAGACATCTGAGCTCGTTAGTGTTAAAGAAAAGCTGACGGAAACACAAAGAGCTCTCCAAACAACAAAGCACGCTGTCGCTTTGGGACTGAAAGAGGGATTTTACAGCGCACATACCAGTTGTCAGCGATCCAGGAGCAACTTTGCTACTGTCTTTTTTTTTTTTTTTTGCGCGCGCGTGTGTGTGTTGCAGATCTTCAGTATCTGGCTGCCTCTTTAACATCCTCAGGCTTTCAGCATCAAGATGATCCGCATATGCACAGTCAGTAAAACTCTCTGGGTCAGCTCTTTGTATTTATATTGTCATTATTTTACAAACTGCTATCTCATTTTTCCACCTTTTAAATATTTATGGTTTTTGTATGTCTTTTAACAGAAGGGGTTGCTTTGATTTCTAGGTGACGTGGTTATGTGGACTCTGTCTTTGTTCATAGCCTAAATGATTTTTTTGTCTAGGGGCACTTTAGGAAAGTAAAAAACTAACATTATTATTTTTTCTTATTCTTAATGAGGTTGTTGCAACTAAAAACAAAATGACAGCAAATATTGACTTACTTACTTAGGTCATTAAATGCGTGTCAGTGGTTTTCTGTCCAGGAATGTGTGATTTGCTGTTGCCAGTTCTGTGTAGCTGTTAATACAGCTACAGGTGAAAACAGCCTCTGATATCTGCCCGGTTTCTCTAAACAGATGGGACTGCATCACTATGACGGACTACAGGTGCGAGGAGGACGAGAGCGTGAGGCAGACGGGGGGTTGGTTTGTATGAGTTTTCCCTTCCTTGAAGGTGAGAAAGACTGTTAATGTCTGGTGGTGGATTATCAGGTTCAGACAGCCACTCCCTCGAGGAACGAATGTACCACACGTTACATAAGAACTGCACTGGGACCAGTGTTGAACAGCGTCATGACTCCAGCTGACTCATAGGATGTGGCATAAGATGGGAAACCAAGGTTTTCATCTCTCTAAAGAGATTTTTGTCCACGCGCTTCAGAAGGACCTGCAGAACTCAAGGCAAGACTGTGGAACCTGATGTGACGTTTTTGATGAGGATTTCTCCCCTTTTTGGATTTTAATAATGTATGCTTTTGGCTTGTTCTTTTTCGTCTGTCAGAATGGATTTTAACATGGACCAAGGTAAACCCACCCAGTAAGCCATCCAGCTGAGAGATTTCCATATTTCTCTACTGCTTCCACTGGGAAACAGCATGGATCCTTCCCGTGACCAGCTGTCGGACTGGAGCTCAGTTGAGCCCACCATCACCACACAGTTGCAGCACGACAGCGCTCAGCAAAAACTCAACCACAGCTACAGCTTCCACAGCGCTCTAAATCTGCCCGCCACCTTCATCCCCCCGACTGGCTCTCTTCATCAGCCTCTGCCCTCTAAGCTGCCCACCGCTGTTGTTCCGTACTCCTCCCTCATCGCCTTCCCTTTCTTGTCCACCACCTCCTCCTCAGCCATCAGGCAAACATCATATTCCTCTTTCGATTTATCCTTCACCAACTTTTCCTCGAATGATTTGGCAGACCTGGAGAGCATGCTGCTCTGGACCCTCCACGAGCCCAGCACCATTGCTTTGACTGTAATGTACAGCCTGTCATTCATTTTGGGATTCGTTGGCAATTTGATGTCCCTTCGAGTCCTCACCAGCCGGCGCAGTCGGCAGCTAGCTGGCGTGAGTGCTACACGCAGTCTCCTAGTAAACTTGGCAGTGTGCGACCTGGCTGTGGTGTGCGTGTGCATGCCCATCACCTTGGGAAGCCAGATCTACACCGCCTGGGTGTACGGTGACCTCTTATGTCGAGCGGTGCCCTTCACGCAGGCTGTCTCGGTCTCGGCCAGCGTGTTAACGCTGACGGTGATCAGCGTCAACCGTTACTACAGCGTTCGATCGCCGCTCCGAGCTCGTACCATGTTCACCCGCCGCCGGATCTTGGCAACTGTTGCTGTGGTGTGGACGGTGTCCTCGATGATGTGCGCTCCCATCGCAGTGATGAACCGGCGTCGAGAGATCAGCTTTGAGACTTTCACCATCTTGGTCTGTCAGGAGGAGTGGCCTCAGCATCGTCTCAAACAGGGGTAAGTAATCAGCCTGCAGATCGTAGCAGAGTCCAATGACCTAGTTTGTATTACAAGATTAAGTTCAGTTCAGCCGTGAACGACACAAATGGAAATGCAGTCTGAGGTTCCTGACACAAACCCTCAGCCCTGAGTGCTGTTGGGCTACGCTTTTGTATGGATGTCCACCGCTTGTGGGGGTTTTTAACCCTCCAGCTCTGCTGCCAGGAATGAATGTTTAATTGAGCTCATCAGATTGGAGGAGGCATCACAGATGGCTCCTATTGGCTGTTCAGACTAGCTTTGTGAGTAATTTGTAATTTGAGGCAAAACAGTTTCTACACCCATGCTTGTTGTTAAAGTTTGCTATCCCTTGCCAGGGGTCCTATATTTATATGCAGGGAGCCACTTATCATGCAGAGGTGTCTGAAGACTCAAATTGACAATTTCAACATGCTCGAAAGAGTCCAACTTCTTTTCTTCTTCTTCTTTGTTTTGTTTCCATTAATCATAGGTTGCCGAGTAGCTCAAAATGACTTCTGTTGTGTGCACTCTCCACTAGGGCTGTTCGATATAACGATATATATCGGATGACGATATAAAAACATCTAACGTTTCATTTTACGCTATTGTTTGTTTCGTGGTGTCAAAATAAACCGTTTACAGCAATATTTTTTTCATCGTTTTGATGGTCACTGTAGTGGCTATATTAATTTCTTAAAGTTCTCTCTTTCTCTTATATTTAATATAAGCGCACTACGGACGGACAAGCGCCTGTTTTTATGCGTTGTGGTTAGCAACAACGACCGTAAAACCATCGCGTGTCCGCTTGTTTATGTTCCACATAAACCTATCACAATAAAGCTCAAGATCTTGTTGAGACTTTTCAAAATAAACTGAATCACGTGAAAGAGTATGCAGAGTGTTTACGGATGAGGAGTAAAAAAAAGCCGCCAGGTGCTAAAAAATAAACCTTAGACTCAAACGTTAGAACAGGGTTTTCCCCGCAGCACGCCGTGTATTAAATACTCACAAAGAAAACTTACGTCTAAAAATGTATCGTTTCATGCATCGGTTAAAACACTCGACTCCAGCTACATGACCCGCAGCTGGAAACACTTCATGCAAGTCGAGCTGCCAGAATTTACAGAAAATGTTACATTTTTGTGATTTATATCGTTATCGGACGATAGAATTCTTATATCGGGATATGAGATTTTGGTCATATCGCACAGCCCTACTCTCCACTTTCATTTTAGCTTTGTAGCCATTGTGGCGACATTCATTGTCTGTGAATCCATTTAGCAGAGGTGATGATTATCTAACAATACCATTAACACTTTTCAGTTCTAAGACAATAATGCTGGTTTTAATCCTGCAATATTTATCCTTGTCTAACGTCTGTGAAAACAGGAATAAGTTGAACAGTTTTGAGAACAATCCTCTGTTTTCCTGACAGAGGATTGTGATCGTGGCTCAAGAGTTGGGCGTTTGTCTTGTAATCGGAAGGTTGCCGGTTCGAGCCCCGGCTCCGACAGTCTCGGTCGTTGTGTCTTTGGGCAAGACACTTCACCCATTGCCTACTGGTGGTGGTCAGAGGGCCCGGTGGCGCCAGTGTCCGGCAGCCTCGCCTCTGTCAGTGCGCCCCAGGGTGGCTGTGGCTACACTGTAGCTGCCATCACCAGTGTGTGAATGGGTGGATGACTGTGTATAGTGTAAAGCGCTTTGGGGTCCTTAGGACCAAGTAAAGCGCTATATAAATACAGGCCATTTACCATCTATACTTGCACTGCAATAGATATAACTTTGAAATGTTGCTGCAATAAAAATATATCTTTCTCAATAGCTCCATTTGGAGGGTGCCAATGCGATACAAAATGTGAATGTTAGAATTCCACCACATAAAACTGCTGCTACGTATTTTAGGGTTTCAGAAAAGATTGAAATTACCATCTCATTGTTAATGTTTTCACTTCTTCACTTCACTTCCTCTGCAGATACAACGTGCTGCTGTTTGTGATGCTCTACTGTTTGCCAGTGACCTTTAACCTCACCATAGGATTCCTCACGGGCAGGCGGCTTTGGGGAGGAAAGAAATCCACTTTCGCTGATCTCGATCCCCGAAGCCAAGCTCTTCACACCTCACGCCTTAAGATGCGTCAGAAGATTGCCAAGATGGTGGTGTGTCTAGTGCTTCTATTTGCAGTGTCCTGGCTGCCGCTCTACTTGGCCGACCTTTGGATTGACTGCGAGCAAAGGCCATCGTCTTGGCTCCTGCAGACAAGACCGTTTGCCCAGTGGCTAGGCCTGACAAACTCCAGCCTTAATCCGATCTGCTACTGTTTCATCGGAGACCTGTACCGCTCAGCAAAGGTCATAAGGACACGATACTACCAAAAGGTTGCCGCTCTTTTCAACTCCTCATCATTCTCCAGCTCAGTTACAGTGGTGCCTCCTGCAGCAGGGATAACTGACAGCAAAGTGTCGTCTGCTGAGCGCCGCCCTATCGCTGCTGCAGTGGCAGCGTCTGCATCCATGGTTACAATACCGAGGCTCTTGAACTTGGCGAGAGTCCAGGGCCTGGGGCAGAAGGTCAGAGACAGTTCAGACAGCCGAGCGGGCTCCGACCACAGCATCTCAGACTGGTGTCGGTCCAGTCCCAGCGTGTGCGACAGCTCCTTGTTACCCTGCCAGCTCCACGGCCTCCAGCACACCATACAAAAAGCAGACTTCCTGCCAACACGGAGACACTCTCTAAATGAGAAAGCTGGACCGTTACCTTTAGGAATCAGTCCTGTGGAAATAGACGTGCTACCTCCGAGGAGGCATTCGGGGGATAGAGTGTATAGTCTGTCAGCTGATAAGAGAGACATCATTACTTTGGGCAAAGCTGCTTTCTGTTATGCTGGGCAGCACAGGAGCAAAACACCACAAACCTACTCTCTGGTTGGGGACACGGAGGATGAAACAACGGATATGACCAGCCTATGAAAACTGCAGTTTATCTGATGTATCAGCCGGGAGGAATTGCTTCCTTTTCTCCTGCAGGCAGTATAAACACGCACACCGCTCCCAAGTTAAAGTTTGCAGTTAACATTGTATAATAATCCATGGCAAGAGTCAGTCGTTGCTTTTAGGATAAAGTGACCTGCTCTGTACTCTCTCCTTCTTTTCATGTGTAGAAGCCTCTCCGTGTCATCTGGAGCACATGGGACCCAAGAGTTGAATTTGCAACAATAAGTTCTTTTATTTTTTTAAAGCATGTGGAGGCAGGAGCAATGGACTGATCAACGTAAGGCAACAACCAGAGATTTATTTAGCCCGGGGTGAGAAAACTGGTTATCATTAAGAAGGATAAATTATGGAGCGTGCCATTACATGCAAGTGATATCATAGTTACAACAGCTTCTATCATTTGCATAAGACAATAACGCAGCAGGAGGTAAAGTGTCATGTGTCTCTGCTTTTCTTTGTTTTTGCTAATGGCTTTGATTGTATTTTGTGCTCACGGGTCATGTGGGAACAAACTGTATTATACACAGACTGTCTGCGAGAGTTTCTGACAGGTCTTCACTGAATAATGTTGCCATTAATGTCTGTTTTGCAATGTTAAATCAAGTCGAGAAAGATTTCAGGAAGGAGGAGCCACATACATTAAAGCTCTTTTTATCTAATTCAGCGTGAATCTTGGGAAGTATTATTAAACATGAACTTTTGCAAAGGGCATTGCTCTGCACACGTTTTTGCTTCATGCATTTACATAACTAAGTTGGCTGTAACCAAAGAATGGCTTTTATGTGAATATAATATAAATGTAATATAACACTGAATAAAACAGCTCTTCATTTTCTGGAGCCTTAAAAGGATGGACTGACCGGAAAGTGCAAGAAAAAAATTATGCCCGTGAACCTCCACGTGTACTGAACAATAGAGCTCTTTTTAAGGAATGTAGACTGAGAAGGTGAATCTGTATACAGTAAATTCCCACCGTTAAGGAAAGTAAGGAGGCAGTCCCTAGTAAAAATACAAAACAAAACAAAAAAACGACTTAATTTTATTTTCTTGTGAGCTGAACAATAAAGAAGTAAAACAGTAGAGAATTACTAAGGTTGTGTAAAAGGAAGAATTCTCAGTCGCCCAGATTTGTAACAACAGCTAAATTATTCACGGCTTTTAAATAAATAACTTTGTTAAGCTTTTCAGTTGTGTAAAGGTAGCGTCAAAAATACGTTTAAGCTTTGAGCAAGATGAAGCTATGTGCTCTATTGGACGATTAATGTCATTTGCACAAAAGTGAATATTTGCCAGGACCGGGTTTACATTCGACGTCCACTTTGTTAGGTACACTGCTCTGGTACCATGTTGGTACTTTTACTATCAGAGCTGCCTAAATTCTTTGTGGCACATATTCAATAAGCTCCGGAAAACATTCCTCAGTGATTTTGGTCCATGATGGCATGATAGCGTCACACAGTTGCTGCAGATTTGTCACATCCATGATGAGAACCTCCCATTCCATCACATCCCAGTGGGGTTCTATCGGATTGAAATCTGGTGACAGTGGAGGCTGTTTGAGTTCAGTGCGGTTGCTCTCATGTTCAGGAAGATGGGTACACTGCAGTCCTACAGTGAAGGGATGGACATGGTAGTGACACAATACAAGTGTTTAAACAGGCTCAGTTGGTACTATAGGGCCCAACGTGGGCCACGAAAATCTCCTAAAGCCTTATAATAACAGCAGCCTGAACCATTGATACAGTTGTCGTCATTCACATTCATCACAGACATGAATGTCATGGTAATGTTCAGCTTTTAATACTTTCTTTTTCCAAGGAGAAATACTTGTTCAGCATACACCTTTGATGACTTAAAAAAAAAAGAAAAATTGATGTCTACAGAGGAAGTTGGCATAAATTTAAGCTGATGACGCTGTTTAGGTTCATTCACCAAATTCTGCCTTGATCCCGTCTATGTTGGAAATCAGCTGTGATCCCTCATCTGCTTATTACTTTTTTAAATTCCTGAATCCACAAAGAGCAGTGAAGCTGAGAGCAGCACAGCCTGTACACAAAGAAAACAAATCTACTTGAGCTAACAACACACATTATTAACATCATTTATTTTTAAGTGATTCTTTCTCCCACATGCTTCCCTCTCACTTCTCACTTTTAGCCTCTGTGGGTAAAAAAAAGGTTCGATGAATAAAAATATTTCCAGGGGGAGCAGAACATCACTAACAAGTATTAGTGCTGCTGAAGTAAAATTGGATTGGTGCTGAGAATATTAAGGGTATGCAAAAAGCATTTTAATTGCTCAGACGTGGGAGTTTGTTGTTCATCAGGCCCCGCGTATTTATTTTTCAGTGAATTTCAAACGGTAGAATAAAAATGCCACCCTACGGCCAGAAGTGGCTACTGAGATTAGAACGGGTGTTTGAATTTTAAAAGGGGAATCAGAAGAAATAGTTGGAGTTTAGCATTATTCAACATTTAAAATGCCACCATCTAGTTTTGGGATCGCTCCATTTTTATCGATTGTGTAATTTTGTTAAAAGCAGCCAGTCTCCTGCTGCAACTGAGACACAGGTTTCTGCAGTTTTTCATGCATGAAGCTACGCCGAAGATTTCCAGGGAACATGAGATACGCTGTGCATAGAGCAGAAAATGAAAACCTCAAAACAGAGTGAAAGATTTAAACCTCTGGTAACTCTTCAGGTTCATTTGATATTTCTGTGAAGGTTCTCAGTCATCCAGGTCATTGTAGTCTAAAGAGCTTGGAAAGACGTCTGGATTTCTTTAAGTTTCTTTAAAGATGTTTCACCTCTCATCCGAGAAGATTCTTCAGCTTCTTCCCGAAACCTTGGCTCATTGTGACCCGCACGCGTTTTCACACTTTGTCTTGTGTGATTAGGTAGAGGATCAATAGAGGGTCCATGACCCTCTTGAGGTCACTCCCACAGGGCTTAAAATCTCGGTGTCTCCACCAATTGCTCTTAGAACTGAAGAAGCTTCTCAGACGAGAGGTGAAACGTCTTCAAGGAAACTTAAAGAAGTCCAGATGCTTTTCTTTTCAAGCTCCTTAGACTTCATCTGATATTCCAAAATTCCACAATGTTAAAGGGTAAGTTCATCTGATTCACAAAACTAATAATTTACTTTCTTTCTAAGCATGAGGATTATTGTGGGTTAATTCAGGAAGTCTGCACAGATAGCCCTGAGTAGATCAGTTTTGCTTTAGCACCGAACACGCCTACAGTCAGCATTTTTACAGTTTTTTAAACGAGGTGGGAAAAAAACTCAATTAAAAAAATTGAGTCGTGGCAGGTATTTTAAAATGTAGATTAATTAAACCAAAACTAACTGCATATTTACAGATCACTTCTATTTCTCTCTTAAAAACAGACCAAAAAATGTGTTTGCAATTGTGGAGAACTGTCACTTGAGAAAATGATTCTTGTTATTGTAACACGAATCATTAGTTTTAAACCCTAACTTCGTGTTTAAGCAGTGGGTACCTTGTTGAATAAAGAAACGAGCTCCAAAAAAGCTTTAAAAGTTCATGAAACAGAAACATGCGCACAGAAGCACACAGCAAAATCAAATCTACCCCAAGGCTGCTTCCAGTTGTGTGTAAGACAGAGGTGGTGAATAGCATGAACTCCTTTGACATCAAGCTGCTAATCACACTCTTGTCCTCACAGCGAAGGCGAAGTGGTAGAACACTCAAGGCATCAGACTGCATTGAAACCGTCCTATTTATGTCTTCGGCTTAGGTTGCGTGTACCTTAGAAAATCTTAATGCCATTATGCTGTGACAGCGTCTTTCATCTTCCCCTCTCTCTTTGCTTTCATCTACCTCTCTCACTCTCTCTCTCTGTTAATGGAGGGCATGTATAGTAAACTACGTGCGTTTAGTCTTTCATTTAAAAGAAAAAAAGGAAGCGAAAGAGTTTGTGCATGGTCACCTGTAAGCGAGACACATGGGTGCACATATTTCACAGAACTGCAGCACTTCTTCTCAGAACAACTTTAGTTTGAGGATTGTTTAAACTATCTTCAGCTAACAGGGACATGATAAGTGTGTGGGTGGGCGAGGGGGTTAAATACACAGATAAAAGTTCCAGGATCCCTCTTCAGTGTTCTCTCGTCCCCTCAGGCTTGATTAATTCTTAATGCATTTCAGACTATCAGAAGGACTTGTTCTTTTATCAAATGAATGACAAAGATGTTGAGGGAAGGAGCCATTCAGCGACAGTCTCATCATAAATGTAAATGCACTCCACTGCACAACTGATGACTGATAGCAGAACAAGATGAATACCCCTAATTTTACTTGTCAATCGCACCCAAAAAGTTCTTTATACAATTTTTTTTACCCTTAAACCACTTTGGTGAATGTTTATGTTAAAGTAGCTTTGTTGCTGTCTGCTAACTCCATCTGTTAAGTTCCAACTTTAACTTCTGCAACTATAAGCTGAAACACAAACAAGGTACGGTGACACTCAGCCACATTGCTCCATAATACTATGAGTGGTGAAAAACTCCAGTGCATCTTTAACAAGTTATACACCTCATGAGTTATTAACTGAGGTTTTTATTGCACAAAAGGACCAAGAGCGTGATAGTAAAGTGTAAAATGCAGGACCAGGAAGACCAGACTGACTCTAAACACCACCCAGGAGCCAGAGCCTGATCTTCAGCAGCTAACTGAGGAGGAGCAGTCATTACCTCCACCTGTTTCTGCAGTAGAATCACTCTGAAGTCTCTTAAACACTAGAACAAAGACTCTCTGTGTCCTCATGGGATTTGTGGTGTGAGACTGTAGCCTTAGGTGTTTAACCTGTAATTATGTGACAGTGCATTTCAGGATATGTTGCTCGGTAATGTAAATCTAATGTAACAATTTCCTTATAGTACCATGTTATCCCAGTATAGAGCTTCATGAAGGTTTACTTGTGGTCCTTTTTCAAAAGTAGTACAAAAAAACCGAATACCTCCCGTTCATTTTCACTGAAGGACTCTCGCTGTTGTTGTTAGGTAGGTTTAAACAGAGTTTTGCACACCACTTGAAATAGAAATGAGTGACTGAGCCCATCATAGGAAGCTCAGGACCCTCCCTAAAACCAATGCAAACTTTGGATATTGCCACGACTGTAATTTAAAGTTTGTCAGCCTTTGGGGGCTCAAGCAGTTTCCTGTCTTGCCTGTTGGCAAGCAGCACATCTGATCAGGCCCCTCATCTGTGAAACCAGCTGCCAGTTTGGGTTCAGGAGACAGAAATCCTCTCTATATTTAAGATCAGGCTTCAAACTTTCCTTTTCCTTTTCCTTGAAGTCTATAATTATTTCTGGACCAAGTGACCTGGATCTGAGGGAGAACTTCCCATGATGCACTGGCTGTTCTTCTCTATTCTCCTGTTTTCACTCCTGAAACATTTACTGGCTGATATTTCATGCCATTTACATCTGTGCTCTAATTCTTTTCTCTTCTATCTCCTCCTCTCTGCTCATCCAGTCACATTAGAAGGCTATCCCTCCCTGAGCTGACTCCATTGGAAGTCTCTTCCTGTTTAAGTGTTTAAGGGGGGGGGGGGGGGGGTCGTCCTTCCCACTGTTGCCAAGTGATTGTTCATAAGGGATCATCTCATTCACTCTAATAATTTAGGGCCTTTAGCCTTACAATATAAAATGCATTGAGACAACTGTTGTGAAATGGTACTATGTAAATATATTTGGATTCAAACTGATGCAAGTCACAGGCCATGGCTTTTACGGGCATCAAATAATCAGAATCAGAATACTTTATTAATCCCTAAGGAAATTATGTAGACATGAAAGGGCATAGTGTGTGCTCTCTATCATCAAAACAGCAAATACAAGAATTTATTTTGGATTAATTCTCTTGTTTTCCTCAAACAGCTTTTCAGAGACCGGAAACATGTGAAAAATACATGGCCAGGAGCCCTGAAGCTGCTCCAGAAGTTTATAAAGTTTGAGAGCAATTTCCATAAATCAGGAAACATATTTTGCCATCACCAGTCCTAAAGTACTCTCTTAAATACCAATTACACACTAATTTTCAACCATTTGCTCCATCACACAATTTCAGTAAACATGCTGTGCACTTCCCTCCAAACTGTTATGGTGCTATATTTCTCATAGTGTCCGTAAAATATGCGCATACTTAACAGCCAAAATACTTGTATGTAAAATCCCAGATAGAATTGCGGGGTCCTCAGTTTCATGGCAGGTCTCTCCCTTGCAAATCGTCATCTGATTCCTAAAGCTCACGAGGATGTGATGGGCACTTACGCACTCAGTTTGAATCGACATTTTCAGACATCCCGAGGACTCACAATGAGGCACTTCAGCTCATCATTGCTTCATTTTTTATTTTTTTTTCAGTTGTCTGCCCTGTTCGGTCCTCTCAGATCTCTTCTCCAACTCCGCTCGCTTGTTTATGTTTTCTCTTTGACTTTTTTCTGCCTCTTCCTACCTCTCTTCCTCACCTTCTGTTCTTGTTACTTCCTTTCTGCTTGCGTCATTGCTGTACCAGTGTTAGAAGTCATGCTAACAATAGCCTGCTTCTCTTTATTTTTCCTCCTTCATCACCATCCTCCTTCATCACCATCCTCATATTCCCTTTTTTGGCAGTAAGAGAAGGGCCATTTAACACAACATAGCCGGAGGGATGTGCTGCACACGAAAGACACAGGAATAGTAAACTCCAACTGCTGTGAAATAATAAGCATAATGGCGAGGCTCTTGTTAAAAACAGCTTACAAATTGCATAGCCCCAAATTTCCCTCTTTTTTCATTGATGAGCTTGTTTACAAAGACTACATCCAACTGCTAAATTATCGATAAACCTTTATAGCCATTAGGGGAAAATTAAACTTTGCTAGAGCAATAAAATTGTTACTTCAGTTAATTCTTAAAAAAACGTTTTATAAGGTTGCACGCATCTGTCCATCTGTCCATCTGTCCATCTGTCCTACTACAGGGTTGCAGGCTGAAGAATTTCCTGCACAGATGTGCTCTGCAATCCTTTTTATTTGGAGGAAGATTATTGTTTCCATCTGTTCTGGTATATACAAAGCAGGAATGGCAGCAGTAAGACCCCTGTACAGAACAGAGAAGGCCTCAGTGGCAGCAGACTTAGAGTTAGAGACAGGGGTGGGGAATGGGTTGCAAATTGGCTTGCACAGATGCAGTTTCAAGACTGTGATGAAAGAGCAATTCAGGACACAGTAGACTGAATTATTTTAATAAAAAGCAAGCTTTGCAAAGTCCAAGTGTGAAATTGTCATCATTCACAGGTTTCACTCAAAAAACAAACTCAAAATCTAAAGTCTGTGAACGAGCCAAACAAACCGAAGAAGTTCAAGAGCACACAGAGGGAAAATAAGGAGAGGACACAACAAGATGAGTAAATGCACATTCAGAAGAAAACAATATTTCCTAACTTAAGCTTCACGTCACTACTGAGTATCTCTACAGCCTGTCAAAGAAAGAGTGGATGAGCTGGTTCTTAAATATAAGGCAGGAGACTCAGCCAGGGGCTTTTTGAGAGAGCTGCCCTCGGGCAAACTCAGGGAAACATGGACTCGCCCACCCGGGAGCATCAAGAAAGTAGGAGGGAGAGCAAGGATACTGCTGGGACCGTGTAAGAAATAAAAGTAAAAATCCAGAAACTGGAGTAAAAGAAATACAAGGCATCCGACAACACATGAAGCATAAATATAAGGCAGACTGGAGGAAACAAAGGACTATATATACACAGAATGCAGATTTGACAACAGGACTGCACATTTGTTAAATGTGTAAACCACTAGACTATTAAATCACCATAAAGAACTTTAAAGATATAACAGCAAAATGCTGTAGAAAACCAGAAAACTATTATTACTTCCTCATCAGAAGTGCACATGCCAAGAACTATAATAACTCAAG